TTATTATTATTATTATTATTATTATTATTATTATTATAGTCACTTACCCTGCTAGCAGCTGCACTGCAAGCTTGGCCAGGCCATTCTGGAGAAAATGGAGGTGCTTTTGGGGATTACCTGTCTAAATTGAAGGCCTGTTCAATTTAAAACCAGTTGCCTAATCTTAGGTTTCCAAAGTTATAAAGAGCCCAATCCCCTTCCTAGAAGTTTAGCAGCTCCCTGACAAGCTCTGCCGGCAGACAAGAGAATGGAAATGTCTTGGGGTTGATTCACCAGCCTTGAAATGCAGTTGTTATTGGCTGCATTAATGCCTGCTGCCCTGACAATAAACTCTGCTCATGAATTTTACATGTTATGTGTCAGGCCACTGCTGAGCTTGTCTCAGTGTCTGCTGGTCACGCAGGAGCTACCACTTGGCAGTGGTGGTGGGGAGATCGAGTTCTGCATCCCAGGCTCTGTGAAGCGAATTGTAAGGAAGAGCACCTCTCAGATGAAACAAACCTTACAACAGCTCCTCCCGCTCTCTTTGCTATAGCAGGATCCCCACAGGAGTCCCCTCACCAGGTGATGCCTTCAGCCAGTGAGGGTCCTGAACAGGGTGATTACACAAGGTGGATAAAGCCAGTCTGGTTGCTGAGTTCTCCCAATATTCACGTCTGCTTAATACAAGTGTCAAGGACATGAGAAGCTTTTGTCCTAGAGGTGCCTCTGAAGTGAAGTCTGCTTCTCCTTTGCTCTTTTGCTAATCGCCTGTGAGAACAAGTCAAGAGCATTCAAATACACCCTCTTTTCTGAATCTGGACGTATACATGAGCTAATCGTGGGCAATACCACTCTCACAGTAAGGTCTAAGATTCACAGTCCTATAGAGCAGTACTGTCATGTTTCTTAATACATGGTGTGCTTTGGGGTTGCGAGGATGTACACTAGTGAGCAACACTCACACTTGCTTCTGTATAGCCTCTGTATAGTTAGCTGCTGCTCAAATACTAGAGAGGGCTTGTACTGTGTTACTTGTCTCTCTAAATTATTACCAGCTGATCTCAAGCAATAGCAAAGGCCCAGCAGGTGTAAATGTATCCCTTGGTATCCTCTGGGCACTTCCATCTCAGGGGTTATGTAAATGAGTAAATCACTGAATTATTTCCTGGAAAGATTAATCGCGTTCTTTATTTCCCACCCTCCTTCCCAATCAGGTGAAACAGCAGATGTCAACCACATTGCAGACAAACTTGCCAAGCTTGTTACTTCGAAATCCCAGGAATCTCCTTCAGATGTGTCATTCAAGGAAATGCCTCATGCCTTGTGCTGGGAACAAGACAATAGTGATTCTACTGATGGAAGTGAAGGCAAGGAACATGGTAAGGGTGAAGAATTTGTTGCTTACAGGCAGTATGTCAGGTTGGGATTGCACACTGAGGCATTTTCTCTAGACATGATGACTCAGGACTTCAGTGGTAAGATGCTGTGAAGAAGGCAGTTTGCTTTGATGGTTCTTGCTCTGTTGCCCACATTTCAGGGACTGCTCTTGCAGTCCTCTAACAAGTCCTGCCTGCTACTGCAATTAAAGGGAGCATCCTTAAAAATCCAAGGAGGTATGACATGAGAAAAGAAGGATGAAAGTAAAGTGACTTAAGGTGACGGAGCAGTGGTAGGAGTAGCAGGGCTGGGGGCAGAGTGATACACAGGGGCTCTAAGGCCAAAGACCAGTCCTTGGGGCAATAATGTCTTGGTCAATCCCTCATTGGTGACAGAACAACACTGTTCAACAATCTCTGTTATAAATCTGAACTGCTTGTCTTCCATGACGTCTGCAGAGATTTAGTTTTAATGCAAGCTTTCTAGGGATTTTTGGTTGCAAGAGGGATCCTGCCATACTTGCATTTTCTTCAATCCAGCAAACCTAGAGTTTGTCCTAATGAGTTGCAGGTGTACTTGGTAATGATGAGGGGATTTTATTTTTTTTTTTTTTCCCCTAATTTTAAGTCCTTTTACGTGGGCTTCTGCTAGCTGCTCTTTTGTTCTGGCTTGTTATCAGACATACCTCAAAGCCCAAAGGGCTGGCAGTGGGATATTAAAGCCCTTGCTCTTTCCCAGATTCTTAACTAGAGCAAAACATTGGGCAGATGGAGAAATAGCATTGCTTATTCTACGCAGACTAGAACAGTGAGCTTCAGCTTAAAGCCTGGATACACAACTCGCTGTGAATTTGCCACAAATGAGCAGCTGTTTTCATGATTAAGTGATACAAGGGCTTTCGCCGAAGTTTACTATCTGGTTCCAATATTTGTTACTCTTTTCTTTAACAGACGAAGATAAGATAATACATACAATAGTTTCTCTGTTAAGACAATCAGGGGACCAACTAGAAGAACAGGTAACTCCTTCTGTTTTCAGGAGCTACACAGGCTAGAGTGTGAGAGAGAGATTACACTTCTCTTGGGAGTGAATGTTTTGTAACCTAGTGTGCTCCGTCTCTATCCTGAACTCCCCTTTCTGCATCTAGGGCTTTCTGAAACCTTCGTCATTCATCCTGAAATCTTTCTTGAGACCAGAGGACTAGCAGAGATCTCTGTTGGGATGTGGGAGAAAGGCAACAAAAATGTTGTGCATTTCAAAGAGGAGTCACTTGCCTCATTCCCGTTGAGTTTCATGGGAAGTTGAGCACTCGACTGACTCTGAGAAACTCTTGTGTTTGCATTAGATTTGTCATACAAGTTGTTCCCAGTGGAGGGAGAGAAACTCTACAGC